ATATATATATATATATATATATATATATATGTAAACATTTCCAAAGGTCCGCACATTTTTCACCCTCGATCGATCTCCGGACCATGGTGAATTGATTATTACATTCACTTTTACAATGCACCTCTCTCAGTGCAGATTGTTTGGCTCGTCTGCATAACGGCGCAGCGGGTAAAGCGTTTTTCAAGTCACCCGTCTCCTCTGCCTCACATATCTCCGCCTACACATCTATGCTTTTTTTCTGCCGCTAGTGTGACTCAGCATCACTTTGACATTCGCCAAGCGTTAGTCCAATGGTAGCCGTCACCGTATAGTCCAGTTTTCTCTACCTCAAACAATATACTATGATTATCTCAGTCTTGTCCATATCATGCGGTATTGGGAGGTTGGTGTTCAGTGTTAGTGTTGCTGTTTTTAGTGGTTACTGCTTTGTTCAGTGTTTCGGTGGGCGGTAGCTGCTGTACGTAACCGCATTTTGACAATCCTCATAGTTTCATGTAGATGGCGAAGACAAACGACTTCCCGGATTTATCGACGACTGACCTTTGGGTTGTAAGGAAATGCGCGATATGTGGCAGTTTTTCCTCTCCGTCGTTTTCTCTGTGGCCTTTTTAAGACAACAGTACTGTCTATGCATTCTTCTGACTTAAATCAACGTTGACATCACACACTGATCGCTTAAGTCTAGCAGTCGCACGGCATTTAGTTAGCCACCGCCGTTTGTTCTTTGTCACCTGGACGACTGGTAATATCCTCTTTCATTTGCCGCACATCTGCCCAATGGCACCTGTGTTACCTCCTATCTCCAATATCCACCTTTCTGTTTTAATTATGTATAATTTGGATATTTTACTCGTGCATTTCTGAATATAAGTCGTACGTATGTTTCTACCTGTGCAAATTAGCTTGTTATTAGTTGAATGAGACTGAACGTTGTTACTACCAACGGAATGTAGGAAACATCGACAGGCTCAGTAATTTAGTGACTACCATGACCAGTTGCAGTTTGCACCTGAGCCATTTGCTTTTTGTGTAGGCGGGAAAACCGGTTGGGGATAGGGAACGCTTCTTGTATGGCAATTTTCACTCCGACTTAATCGGCTTACTCCTCTAATGGATTTCTCCTCAAATCCATCATTGCGTTCGGGAAAATAACGTCGTCAGATGCTCCGAACTATCAGGTTGTGTAATTTGTGGGGGTACTTATTTTCCACTATAAACAGCGCAAAAGAATTAAAAATTATCAAATATTGCTGGCAGTCTCCTCCCGGTTCTTTGAACCCTGCTCACGAGCACTGACATTTGGTCCTTGCTCAGTTTCACGCACATCAGTTTTTTCCTGCCTGTATTCCTGCGTCTCACATTTGCGAAATTAGAGGTGCTCATTGATTCGATGGTCTTCCTAGGTTAGACTTGTCCTCTATTCACTACCCACGTACCCTTCGTGGTGATTCGTCCAGTATTTTCCCCTTAATAGATGCTGTAAGTGTGGGTCATGTGTTTCTCCTGGCTGGCTAATTTGATTTTCTATTTTTGCTACCACCTTACATTAACTTCATTTCAATTTTATCTCAAGGCTTCAGTGTGGATTGGTGGGCTCTGGGTGTGCTTATGTTCGAGATGCTTGCTGGTCGATCTCCTTGGGAGGGAATCGGTCAGTCAGCTAACCCGGACCAGAATACAGAGGATTATCTCTTCCAAGGTGAGAATTTAGTCATGATTTTTCTTCCCCGGTTCTTAGCTACCTGTACTGCAGTGCGGGTAGGCTGACAACTTTATGGCATACTTTCATTTCCGTGTTTCACGTAACCCCTGTGGCTGAAGATATGATATCGTCAGTGTGTCGAACTATTAGTAGCTTGAGGGCGTTTACTGGTGGCTGATGAGATGACCGTTGATCTGTTCGCCGAGCCTGGTAGTTAGCTTTCAAACGTTTCATCCACACTGTCTTATTGGTGGTTGACCAGATCACCACTGGTCTATCCGCCGAACTTGGCAATAAGCCTGTAAACGTTTCGTCTCCATTGAGGAGGCATTATTCATCTGTGTATTGACGATGTCTCCTCGAATGGGGACGAAACGTTTGCAGGCCAAGCTCAGCGGACAGATCAGTGGCCATGTGGTCAACCACTAATAAGACACAGTGTTCGAAGGTCAAGCTACCTTCCTGTCAGTAGGCCAGCTGTCCCTAATAACGGATCATCACATCGTTCGGATGGATGTGTCACGTGTAGGCTACGGACCAAGAGAAGGCATTCCCTAATCGGTCAGAATGCCAGCCAATCTGGGTCGAGGATCTTTAGCTCGACGCTTCTCGCCTCCTCACAGGGATTCCAGCACGACCCTGTGTAACATTTTATGATTACCCTATAAATGCAGTTGTAATAATCTTCCTTTATCTCCATAAAGGGCTTTCTGAAGCTACCGTGCCTTTTGATGTACCATAGTGGGTGGACCAGGAAGCTAAGGACCGATACAGAGTTGCAAGATCGTTCAGCAAGTCCCAACACTTTCGTTGGCCATTACTGAAATAGAGCAGTACCTTGTTTTCACAGCGAACTCTATTTGAGGATAACTCGAGCAATGAAACGGTTCCAAGTTTTTTTTCACAAATCATCAGAGCACCTTGTCACTTTAGTAATGGAACTACGTGTAAGGATGACTCTACAAATCACTATTTTCCATCCGATATGAATCCTTCACACTAACACAGATTTGAGCGGGTAACGCTTTACACACAGTCTAACAGCCAGGTATGAAATAACTAACCAACGAGCGGTTGAAACTTCCATCTGTGATCTTGACATCATTCTGCTTGATAGGTAAAGAGCAACTGATTGGATGCTCCATACATTACGGGTTTTAGTCAGCTTGTAGTTGAGCGCGCTGTACTGTCTGCTTATTCTGACAATTGATAGTAAATGTTTTCACCGATTATTTCTCTGCATACTACTTGTCTCTAAAAAAAATCAGGACATAGCAGTCGAAAAGTTGTGAATGTGTGCAGTCGGCGCTGCGGCGCACAATTCAAAGAATTCACCACCAAGCTAAGAACTACGCAATACCATTTGTCACGACGCTATTACATAACGCAGAGTAAATTTCGTTGTATCGCCCAGCTGTTAACCCCTTCCTCGGTTCTGAGTGACCTCAATTAAGGGTTGAAAAGTGAGTTTCCAGTCTTCTGTATTCGCAAAGCATGAACAGCAAACTTGCTAACGCTTTAATTGGCCTTCTGTAACGAGTCAGTCCCTTCGCTAGCGCTCAGTCGAAGCGCAGAATTATCCGTTATACTCACGTTACTCATTATCGACGAGTAGTCACTCGCTCTGGACGGTCATTCATGTGACCCCATCGCCATCACATAGGGAGATGAATAAACGCTCTTTGAGCCAACGTGCTCGCCAAAACAAAATTGAGAACTCGATCGTGATACTGTGGAGCTAAAATTAGCTGGTTTCAAAACAGTTTTGTGTCGCCTTTGTTTAGTTACGGCGTGATCCTATGGCCGTTCTGTCTCCGGATACCTCTTTCGTCTACGTCACCCTCCCTAGTTTCAGAGGCCCATTTCAATATGAATTGAATGTTGGCATTCGGTTTGATTATCTGATTGCAGAATTCAGTCGAGTAAAATACATGTTACAGTAGATGTTTTTGGATGCTGTAAAAGAATTTGAATTTGAAGTAAATAGGAAGTTTGTATGGTGAATTTGCGAAAGTTTATCAGGGAATACAGTGTTTCTTAGTAAAAATTGAGGAATCTAAAGACGTGTGATCCTAAAACCCTGGTCCAGAACCACTGTTTCGCACTTTTTTTCCGAAGCAGAATTTCCCGGTTTTGGTCAGATGACTGGGCGGTTCAACTGGAACCTTGGAGTGTCCCGGTAGAAATCTACGCGCAGATCAATGTACCGATGGGATATCCCGCGTCTATGGAGGTATATCACTAAGACCGAAGCGTCGAGACACCTTATGACAGCCTTTTTGAAGTCTTACCGACAAGCATAGGGAAACAATTATTATCTTTTTCTCTATGATCTCGTGGAAAATTCCGGCTGGATTTTACATTGTACAAGGTTGGTAAAACGTCAGTATCCCCGCTGTTTTTAACCAACCTCAGGAACTGTGTGAAAGTGACGTCGTGCTAGTGCGGTGTTCGCAGTCACATAAAAGTTGTTTGGTTCGGACAGTTTGCTTGGTAGTCGATTGCGTCCGCTTCGACGCAGTGTTTATGAGTCCTCACATTCTATCACCCGGCTGTTCATGGGTTTGTCTCTCCTTCCATTCCCTTTTTTAGTGATATTGACCCGCCCGATTCGATTTCCCCGATCGATCTCTGTGCGTGCTACCAATATTCTTCGTGCTTTCTTAACGAAGGTCAGTTTCTTATTACTTATGTCTGCTTTGTCAAATCGAACCAATTTCTGAACGTTCGGAAGTAGTCTATAGTTAATGCTTTTTGCTTTCCGGAGTTGGAACATGAGACTGTGTTTCTTAGTGATAGGCAAGGTATGGAGATGGGTGAGCCTGAATTTGTTGCAACATCATCGCGATCGTTTTTCCGATACGCCGGTCAGCAGTCGAGCTTTGGGTTCTCGTTTTGTATGCGGTAGGTATGTGCGAGTCTTTATTAAGAGAACGTGTTTACACATTGGTGATTTTTCCCCTCAGGCTTTGAAACAGCCTTGTACTTTTGTTGATCGCAACAGCTATCAGGCATCTGATATTAAAGGTACACTTTTTCTGACACACGCTTGTTAATTTCGGCAGATTGATGAAAGGCATGCACACGCAGTTTTGGAACGTATGCGCTTAAAATGATTTATGGAACTTTTTCGATTGGGAAGTGAAGGGAGTGTCGCCATACAAATCAGCTACTGATGGCATAGACGCCTTCAGTCAAAAGAATGATGTGCGGCATTTAATGACCATGGGGCGAGATGGTTCAAGTGGTTGGAGCACGAATTTACTGACCGGAAGGTCCGTGGTTCGAACCCGACCTCTGCCTCTCGATTTGCCCTGTCTAGGCTCAGGCAAGCTGACAGTATCCCAGCCCTCGTGCATCCTTCGGGTGACATTGCAGCCAGGCACCGAAAGAGTATTATAACTGAACGTTTTTTAATGCCCATTGCATTATAGGTCGTCTAGAATAAAGGCCAATTCATCTTCAACATATCCTCTGAGGGTTATCGTCCATTCAACAGTGGTAGAAACAGTTGTCTTTATGATGTTCGTCTGCAATACGGCACTCTGATTGCTGTTCAAAGGATCCGGATCCCATGGACGTTCCCCTAGTTGAACTTTTGTTTGGCGTTTTCTTCCTCTATGCGCAGTGGGCGATTTCGGTGTTGTTATGGTGGACTTTAGTGCAGTTAGAATCATCGTCGGAGTGCATTAGAGCTGCCGTCGTTTTCCGTCACTGTAATAGGTTTTTGGTTGGAATGATTTGCAGCATATCGTTACGTGGGTCTTCTCATAAATAGCGTTGTGTTCCATATTGGCTTCACCGACCGAGGAAATTGGGTCTTAGAAGATGTTATACTAACTCGTGACTATATTATATTCACCGTCATGTCCTTGTAGTACAATCAAGGTTATCTCCGCAGTTAAAAAACAAGGAAAGCGCTCCCGGACTGTCTACAAAAAATACATTTCCTGTGTAGATGCATTCAGCCACACGTGGGTTACAAACAAAATCGATAAGTTGGATAAACCATGCAGAGTTTCGTGTGTCCGCAAAGTTATCGACTTTTGCGTATTCTGAGGCAATGAGTTGGAAACTGTTAATGATCGCAATTAGAGCTTAATTTTTCGGTGTAGATTTACTTCTCCTCATACTATGCGCCACCGATACGCAGATTCCGCTGCATTCCATTCCAAAGTACTAGTATCCAATGAGGAAAATAACGTTGTGAGTCGTCACCCGAAAGCCAATCCACACAAGTCCACATGTTCTCTGTTTTAGGTGTTGATACTGACTGGTGCTATGCCGTTCGCTTTTCAGATTTTTTCGTTCGCTGTCGTTTTCCAAGGGAAGCATATATCCAGTCAATGTAGTAGTTATCAGAATCTTCCAGTATTTACGCACCAATTAAATCGGCCACCACCTCCAGTGCCTAGCTACCTATCCCACCTGCCCAAATCATCGGTGGACAAAACTGTCCGGCAATTATGCAGCTGTTTAGGGCTAAGGATGATGATTCAAGTCTTCCCGGACCAATAGAAAAAAAGAAGAAAGCGTTCAGCTGTAGCACCCTTCCGGTGCCTAGCTACCGAAGGAAGCACGGGGGCTAGGATACTGCCAGGTTGCCCAAGCCTAGACAAGGGAAGTCGAGTGGCGGAGGTCGAACCACGAACCCTCCGCTCAGTAAATTCTCGCTCTAACCACTTGGGCCATCTCGCCCCCGGACCAGCAGAAGTTACCGTTCTATACGATATTCCTCACTTCCGACTTGTCAGGTTCTCACACTCAAGTTTAAAATCCTTTTGGATCCTAGGTGTGGAATTATTGAATCGAACTACATAAATGATAATTAAAATTACAGTAGGATATAGATGAAGCGGTAGTATTTACGAGAGTCTCACTGACCTCACCAGCAAAAAGTCTTAGTTTGTCTTCACAGGAGACCATTGATAACCCACTTTTGGTTACCTTCCTAACTAGCAATGATAAATTTCATGCCTTTTAATCCCTAAATGCACGCTCTGTCATGATTGAATACGAGGCTTTGTGCTGCAAGTGTGTGGGACCAACGAATGATTCATTCGTCCCTCACATACACACCATCTCGCTTCGTAAGTGAGCATTTAACTCTGCCTGAAAGTCAGGCATTTCAAGATCAGTCGGTGACAATATTTTGCCAGTGGAAGGAGCACACGCAGCAGTATGTCACAGAATCTGGCTAAGTGTATATCCTGTTCATGTCGACCCTGTTTTTTGTACTCAGAGCGAATCAAGAGTCGAAATCCGTACTCAGGATAAAATATTATTTATAGATAGATCAATCCAATCAACATCCGGTCAGCTGTAACATCTTTTCGGTTTCGGTCTGGCATGCCACCTGAATTAGGCACGAGGGCTGAGGTACTTCCGGATTTCCCAAGCCCCGGACAGGAGCAGTCGAGATTGGGATTAGGTTTTAATCACGAACCTTCTGGTCAGTGAACTCGCGCCCTTAATTAGGCACCTGAGGTCGAGCAGTCGAGATTGGGATTAGGTTTTAATCACGAACCTTCTGGTCAGTGAACCCGCGCCCTAGGCACTGATCTGATA